TCCCAAGCGGTCACCCGTCTACGTCCTGATCAGACTCAAACTTCCCTCCAAAATTCAATTCATAGGCTTCAGCCAGCAAAGGTCAACACAGTCTCAGACAAACTTCGCGGTCCTGCATCAAGGTTGGAAGGTCATATATATTATATTCTATAAATACTTTCATATTTCCGCTATGGTATCTAGACTTCACAAATTTTAGCGCAGTACGTGATTGGCAGCTAGGACTCACCATTTTACAACTGAAATGGCTAGAGGCTACCGTAAGTTCTATGCTAAACTTTTCTTCACTCGCACCTTCTCGCTTGTGGAAATCACTTCCGGCTACTTGCATCTCAGTCAACTTTGATCTTCAAAAATTTAAATGCAATGTCAATCGTTATCTTCTGGCTTCCTGAAACCAGTTCTTTTACTGTCCTCTCTCCTTAATAGTAGTTGTTTCTGATATTCTCTAGCACTTAATAACCCTTTGTGTCTTAATGGCTTTAGTGCCTTACTTGGGGTGAAATGACTAAAAAAATACATTTTATATAAATGAAAATAACAATTTTTATTAATTTACTCATTAACAAAATATTTCATGCTTAGAGATTTTTTCAAAATAGAGGCCTGTTTATTTTGAACATCCCCATTCTTTTTTTGAATTATGAATATATATATATATATATATATATATATATATATATATATATATATATATATATACTTTCAAAATCTACCCTGATTCTAACTGTAGAAGTCATAACATAATTTACCTCCTAGAATGGACACTATGCCAGAAACAATATGTAGGAAAATCTGAATGGCCCTTTCACTACAGAATTAATAATTATCGTAAGTGAATTAAGTCGACTCCCCATGAAAAATTATTACCTGTAGAACAATATTTCCGCCTGGAAAAACACGATTTCAAATCCCTTGCCAAATTCACTATAATTGAAAGAATAGAAAAGTTCAGAGCAGATAACATTAGAAAGATTTTAGAGTTCCATGAAAATAAATGGATACAACGTCTAAAAACACACTATCCAGTCGGGCTAAACCATAAATTTAACAATAAAGATAGTACTAATATATAACTCAAGAAATAAAAACCCACCCACATTTCTCACCCACACAAGACAGACATGCTCTCCAGGACCAATAAAACTGTCAAACTGACCACGGGAATTCAGAGAAGCATAGATCCATCCAGCTCTTATCTCAAATAACAACTTAAAAGAGACTGTTTGACCAACACAAGGAATGTTAAAAGATTCTTGTTAAAAAATACAAAAATAAAAAAAAAAACAAATGAAAACTACAGACAAAAGTTCATTTTCTCCAGTAAGACATTCATTTCTGTAGTTTACTGCTACCAGCAAGCAGAAATATTTTTCTTCCCGACGATGGCCATTTTGGTCGAAACTAGTCGAGGAATCTAAATGAAATAATAATAAAAAAAAAGCAAAAAACGAAAGAATATTCATCTACAACCCAGTGTGTCTGAAGATTTTAATTTTTTAATATTTTTTATTGTTCAAACAAACAAAAAAAAAATATATATATATATATATATATATATTAATCCCACCAAACTCTCTGATGAACTTCTTAATGTGGATATTATATTCATTAAGAAAGGCGCCGCAGTTTTTTCATTTCTTTTATTTCCCCAAGTACTTTCTTGAAGGGTGAAGTACTATGACAAAAAGTAATGTAATTGAGAGTTGTGAATTGTTTTATAAATGCGCAAGAAACGCTTCATACGTGTTTATAATTATAAATGTTTTCATGATAATTGTTTGGCTGACCTTTACCCTAAGGCACCTAGATTATCCCTTTAAGCGCGGTGCTAGATTAGTGGCAATGTCACATGATTTTACTGTTAAAATGGCTAGATGCAACCGTAAATTCTATGCTAATAGTTTCTTCTATCGCACTTCTCGCTTGTGGAACTCCCTTCCGGTTTCTTGCTTCCCAGTCAACACTGATCTTCAAAAATTTAAATGTTATGTCAATCGTTATCTTACTTGTTCTTTTATTTTTCTTGCTCATTAATAATGTTTTCATTTTCATATATTCTTTCACATTCAGTAACCCACTGCGTCTTAGTGGCTTTCTTGCCTTGTTTTGGGTGAAATCATTAAGAACGCTAAATATTTTATGTAAAAGAAACAAAACAAGTGTAAAGATAAAAATTTTTTATATATAATCGTCTAAATAAAAATACCTTTGACAACATGCTTATATTTTTAATGGGTATTCTTCTTCTATGTGCCGTGTTCTTTCAGGACATTGGCGATCATTGCTCTCCACTATTTTCTGTCCTTTGCAGTTCTCAATAATTTTTGTCCTTTTGATATCTCTCCTAATCATTCTTCTGTCAATCTTTTTCATAATCTCGTTAGACAAGAGTTAGGCATACTTATTTTCTCTGTCCATCTTACTTTCAGTTTGTCCTGTGAGTGTCAAGTTTTCCAAGCCTTCTTTCCGCATTATGCGCCCTAGAAATTCAACTGTCTCTTTACGATGTTAAGTATAAGTTTGCTTTTTGTTTCCATTTTCTCTAAAACTTCGTCGTTGCTCACATGCTAGGTCAATCAAATTCTAATCATCCTTCTGTAGAATCATAGAAGCAGTTATTTCACGTCACTGCTTCATCTGTGAGGAGATTGTCTATTATTCACTGCTATATAGGAGGACTGATATTAGGCAAAACTTCAGTACTTTCTTTTTCTTTGTTTCTTAATAGTGGAATACCGAGAAAATGAAGCAAAAAGCAAACATAATTAAGAGTGTTATGTAGGAATAAAGTATCGCTGCCGATACTTGAGTTTGAACATAGATCGCCAGTGAGCAAAAACAGGCGATCCCGTTATTGAATTAAGTGGATCACGTGACCATAGAGGAAACACATAAGTAGAAAGTACCGTGACGACTAACGATCGCTATTTCTATTCTATACTCTATTACTATACGGATCGTAATTTCTGTTCTATCCTCTATTTCTATACGGAGCGCTATTCTCTACTCTATTCACTATACTATTTCTCTATCCAGATCACTATTCGGTGGTTACTATTCGAGCGAGTATTATCGAGCAAGTACTATTAGTACGAGTGATATTCGAAGGCGTCTGACACCAGTATAGTTCAACGGTGTTACTATAGTTGTGTCTGCGATTACAAAGTCTCTACTACAACGAGCATTACGAAAGTGACAATGAGTATTCGTTGACTTTACTGAAGTGTCAAACGAGTGTTCGTTGACATCACAAAAAAGAGACAGTTGAAATTCCTAGAGCACCTAATGAGGAAAAGGAGCTTGGAAAATTTGACAGATTAAAAGAAAGAGGGACAGAGGACAAGAGCTTAATTATCGGGAGTCATTTTTTCCTATCTCAGTGCGCCTTTGGATTTCAGTATTTCGTATGACATGTATGACATTCAGTTTGGACCTTAAATTGACTTGTAACCTGCTAACATGGGAGATCAACGCTAACTCATGTTAAAATACTCGTATGGATTAATTTTTAGCACTGAGGGTTCAACAGTTTCAGACAATACAAGGCTCAAGAGTCACTCAAGGTAGAGGGTTACTTTGTGGTGTTGTATGAGCGTAAGAAAGGGCAAGAAGTGAAGTTCTTGGCGCTATGCAGGAAAGATAACGCCTAAATCTGAAGTTGAAGAGGTCAAAATTCAATTAGTGAATAACCTTTCAGAGTTCAGTGGTCGGCGTTAGAAGTGTAGTGTGCAAGTAGATTTTAGAAGGAACCGGAAACACACAATATATATATGAGTGTGTGTGTGTGTGCGTGTGTGTTAATTTTCACCTAATACAAGGCCTAAGAGACACTCAAGGTAGAGGATTACTGTGTAGAGAGATAAGCCTCTAGACTGTTCCAAAAACCTGAGAAGAGTGTGAACCGGACGACACACACCCAAACACACACACGCACAGGCACGCACCACACACACACACACACACACACACATATATATATATATTTATTTCCATCCAATACAAGGCCCAAGAGCCACTCAAGGTGGAGGGTTAGTTTGTGGTGTTGTATTAGTGTAGGAAAGGGCAAGAACTGAAATTCTTGGGGTTATGAGAAAGGATAGCTAATTCTAGACTTGAGGAGGTCAAAATTTAATTATTGAATAAAATTTCAGAATTCCGGCAAGGACATAAGAAATATAAAGATGATGTAGACTTTAGAAGAAACCGGAAACCCAATCCTAAACAGGAAACAACGGATAAATCTCTACACATGTTCAAGAAATTACATTCATTTATAAGCAATACGAATATTTTGAAGCTGGTAAAAATAACCATCGAAATATTAAATTAATTGCATTTTTATATGTCAAATTAATTACTTTTTATTCTTTTAATTAAATAATTTTTCAGTCTGCAAAGGTTTAGCCTAAATAATTATATATTTTCTGATTAGCCAGAAATAAAATCATATTTTTATTTCACTATAGAAATCAAAAAAAATATCTTGTCTTCAACAAGTAAAACACATTTTCGATTTATTTAAATAAAAGAAATTGTTATATCCGTGTTAATCGCAGATTTTACAAGAACATGAATGTATTACCCTTTCGATGGTTGTTTTTGTTTAGTGGCATATCAACATCTCTATGGGTTATGTAATGCCAAAATCTAAATATTTTGAACGTAATTTTATGCCTTCAACTACAGATAAAATATATTGTTGGTAATTTTACTATAAATAGATATTGTTGGTGGGTTGATTATCTTTAACGGCATATCAACACCTCTATGGGTTATTTGATGCCGAAATATTTTGCATGCAAATTTATTTAGTTATTTTTATTTTTTGGTGATAATATTGGTTTTAGTGATACAAATTTTACTAATTAACCGACATCTGGGGGAAAAGAGATAGATTCATACCTTTTCCAAAGGTGAATATAACGAACCCAACTGGAATTGAAACTCGGCTCTCCAATTAATAATTCAGAATAATTACACCACCCGCACATGGAAACTTACAGCATCTGGTATACCTAAACGGTCACCCATCTAGGTACTGACCAGGCTCGACGTTGATTAACTTCGGTGATCATACGAGAACTGGTGTTTCAACGTGATATTGCCGTAGGCTTATTACACCACCCGCACATCCAAGCTTACAGCATCCTTTATGTGCGCCCTTTCCTTTCAGGGCGTAGGCGATCATGGCTTCCACTTCCCCACATCCTCTGTAGCTCTCACTAAGTATTGTCTCTTTGCTACTTCCCTCAGACCACATTCTATCACTCACTTGCTTAAGCCTGCCACGTATGTCACGCATTGCTTTATCTTGTCTCTCTTTCCCTCAATTCGACCCGTGAGTATCAGATTCTCCAGGCCCTCTTTCCTCATTATGTCCCACAAACTTCAGCTGCCTCTTCCTGATGTTAAGTATAAGCCTCCTTCTTGTTTGCATCCTTTCTAGTTCTTTACCGTTGCTCACACGTTCGGACCATGTTATCCTCAGCATCCTTCTGCAGAACCACGCCTCGTGTCTCTTCTTCATCTTTGAGGAAATCGTCCAACATTCGCTGCCGTAAAGGAGGACAGATGTCACGTAACAGCTCAGTATTCTTTTCTTTGTTATCAAAGAAATCCTTCTGTCTCGCAATACTCTATCCAGCTTTTGTAATGCGTCATTGGCCATCCCAATACGTCTACGGATCTCAGTGTCGCATTTACTGTCCTCTGTCAAAACTCTTCCCAGATATTTATACTTCATTTAATAAACTAACAGCAGAAATAAAACCTTTTCAGTATTCTTTTCTTTGTTATCAAAGAAATCCTTCTGTCTCGCAATACTTTGTCCAGCTTTTGTAATGTGTCCTTGGCCATCCCAATACGTCTACGGATCTCAGTGTCGCATTTACTGTCCTCTGTCAAAACGCTTCCCAGATATTTAAACTTCATTTAATAAACTAACAGCAGAAATAAAACATTTTCAGTATTCTTTTCTTTGTTACCAAAGAAATCCTCTTGTCTCGCTATACTCTGTCCAGGTTTTGAAATGCGTCCTTGGCCATCCCAATACGTCTACGGATCTCAGTGTCGCATTTACTGTCCTCTGTCAAAACGCTTCCCAGATATTTAAACTTCATTTAATAAACTAACAGCAGAAATAAAACCTTTTCAGTATTCTTTTCTTTGTTACCAAAGAAATCCTCTTGTCTCGCAATACTTTGCCCAGCTTTTGTAATGTGTCCTTGGCTATCCCAATACGTCTACGGATCTCAGTGTCGCATTTACTGTCCTCTGTCAATACACTTCCCAGATATTTAAACTCCCGCACAGGTACTGACCAGGCACGACATTATTGAACTTCGGTCATTGTTCGACAGCCAATGTTTCAACGTGATGGGGCTGTAACTATGGAGTATGGGTATGTTGCTCAATATCACAATTCTTATAAAGTAAGAAAATAAAAGTATCAAAACACGTTAATTAATTACTTTTTTATGTGCCTTGTACCTTCAGGACATAGGCGGTTATGGCCCTCCACGACATTCTGTCCCTTGTAACTCTTAATATATTTTGTGTTTTTGCTATTTCTCCTAAACTCTGTTATACCATTTATTTCCTCAAGCTCATCAAATATGTTACGGGCTGCTTTCCTTTGTCCCTCTTTTCCTCAGTCTCTCCCGTGAGTATCAAATTTTCCAAGCCCTCTTTCCTCATTACGTGCCTCAGAAATTTCAACTATCCCTTCCTGATTTTAGATATATGTTTCCTTTTTTTGTTTCCATTTTCTCTAAAACCTCATCGTTCCTCACATGGTCTGCCCAGGGTATGCTCAGCATCCTTCTGTGGAACCGCATTTCTGTTGTTTCAAGTCTTGAATTGATTCAATTATCTTCCTGATGTCATCAGTTCTCAAGTCGGCATCTACGCAGACAACACTAGCATTTACTCCTGTCTCAATGGTAAATCTGGCATTGCTGACAATGTTAACCTGGCCGATGGTCTCGAAAACTATCCACAATCTGTAGTTGACTGGGGCATGAAATGGCTTATGAATCATAATGCATCCAAAACGAAACTGCTGTCATTTATTCACCATAGAAAAACTTCCCTGCCTCCTATCAGCATGGTTGATGCTCAACTCCACGAGAGGGCCTCACTACGCCCTTTTTGGTCTCATGTTTTCCATTGATCTGAGGTGGAACAACTACATTGAATCAATTGCTTCATCTACTGCAAGGAAAGTTGGTTCTCTGTGACGCGCCAAAAGGTTTTTCTCGTTTCAGTCCATCCTTCACATCTACAAATCTACCATTTGTCCTTACATTGAACACTGTTGCCATATATGGTCTGGTGTACCCCCGCTGTTCATCTCGACGTTCTTGATAAAATCCAAAGATGGATATGCAATATGATAGGTCTTGACTTGGGGTATCGACTCCAGTCGCTTTCTTACCGACGTACTCTGGCTTTCTTCTGTCCTTTATATAAATATTTTCATGGCATCTGCTCTGACGAGCTGAATTTAAGCGTGCTACGAGGTTGGCATCTCAGTCCCACCCTTTTATTGTCGAAACAGTTAAATGTAACCGCCTCTTCTACTCGAAAAGCTTCTTCTCTCGCACTTCCAGACAATGGAACTCCCTTCCTCTTACTTGTTTTCCCTGATAACTATAATCTTCAAAAATTTAAATGTAATGTCCATCGACATCACCCGCTGCCTTGATCCCCGTTTTACCGTTTATCCTCCTCTCTTTCTTTTTTTTCCTTTCCCTCCATGCCTAGTTTGTTTTTCCCTTACACTCTCTGTCGCCCCCCTGCGTACTAATGGCACTCCCGTCTTGCTTGGGGTGAATGGCTTAAAAAAAGACATTTGTGACGTTAATATATCGCTCATAGTAGGCTAAATCGACCGGTTACTTAGCTGCTTTGCACACACGTTCAAGCAGACAGGGCTACAGTGTCATATTACACGCATGGTTGGACATGTGGGTTACTCGTAGGCACATTTCTAAATAATAACAATAATAATAATAATAATAATAATAATAATAAAGGCCGCCGTTCCATAAGCTCTTGTAAATTTTATTTGTGTGTGGGTGTTTACATGTGTGTGCGTGTGTACGTTTGTGTTTTTATATGTGAGTGAGTGTGTGCAACATGTCTAGACGTTGAATAAAGACGTGGGCTGGGGAGAGAAAGAGGGAACGTTCGAGAAGGAAAGAGAGCGAAAAGTGTTTGAGGTGGGGTGGCGATCAGCATTAAGCAGTGCCCGCTATGCTTGGGATGGTTGGCCTTAGACAGCTCCGCTTGACACATGGTCCAATACAAAGGGGATATTTGAAAACTTCTGTGTACATGGTTGATATATTAGAATACAAGTGCTACTTTTATATATATATATATATATATATATATATATATATATATATATATATATATATAGCGAGAGAGAGAGAGAGAAAGACCGCCCAAGATTCGTTAATAAATTAGTGTACATGATGAAAAAAATATGACCTAAATTTAATTCAAAAAAAGTTGTATCGTTAAAATCTTTATGTTATTATTAAGAGGAAAGACCAAAGGGTTTTTGATTATTAAATTATATGTTTATACTTTTTAGAACTTTCTAAATTTTGGCTTAAAATTTTGTTTCAGCGGGTGACCATAAATTCGCCTTTTGACAGTGTAAAAACAATGATTTGTAAATTCTTGCAAAATAATTGCTGAATTTTTAATTAAACTTTCAAAACTTATTAACAAATGCATTTAATTATTTTTGAAATGTTTCTTTTTTTAAAAAAAACTTTGTAAATTTTTTGTACATTTGTTATATTGCGCCTATTTAATTTTATGAGATTTCGAGAAATTATTTTTTTTGTAGCAGTTGATATTTATATTAATTATAAGAACAAGTCCTCGGAGAATTTAAATCATAACTATTTTATTCAAACAGGATCTCCAGTTACAGAAAATCTTCTCTGAGTTGTAAAATAAAAAATTGTAATAAAACATTATTTATTTAGAATTTTTTAATGTATAAAATGTATTATGGACGCTATTGTCTTAAGAAAATATCCTTTCACGGTTAATAATGAATTTTTATAAGAATTGTTTTCATTTTATTTTTAATTTTAATTATCAGGATTATAAAGTTTTAAATCTTGTAAAGTACGCCGGTGTAGGCTTTAAGAAAGCTTTATTCAACTGAGAATATAAGGTTCACGTATTGTGTCCTTTTATAGTCCCAGTAAACAGAAATAGCTCTCTCAAAGAGGAGAATAACTAAAATAAGGGGAGACCACTCTTGATTATTCATAACAAATCTTTTATAAATCTTTTAAATTTTTCTATTAATGTGTAGCGGTTACGTCATAGTGTTATTAAATGAAAACTGTACTTATAAATTATATATGGAAAGATTTGCTACAATTTAACGAACCGCCGGCATTTAGAAAAAAGATGAATTTATTTTGTGAATGTAAATGTTTTGATTTTTGTAAATACGGATGTCCAAACGCGACATTATCAGAAAATAAGAGTGGTAACTATAGTGTAGTTAAAATTTATTTTTTCGCTCAAGAAGCGTCTTTGTCAGGAAGATTATATCGCCAAAAATATGAGATGGCTTATAATATTATTTTACATTTTGAAGATTATTGGCTAGTGAAAAAAATATATAAAAAAGGCTTTTCCGTTATATTCGTCAAATAATTGTTACGATTCAGAAGAATCAGGTTCGAATTTCCCGCAGTAGGTTTCCATTTCTTTCTGCGGTAGACCAGTTGCGATCAAGGGATATAGAACCCGGACTGTCCTGCTATTTACCCTTTCCTGGTGGGGAGAAGAAGAGGAGTCGTACCTTTCCCACGTAAGTTAATGTAATGGATTCGACTGGAATTCGAACTCGGTTCTCCGATTCCTCAATCCAAGATGCTATCCATTACTCCACCGTGTCTCCTCTTAATTAATTAGCTACCATATTTCCATAATATTCATTCACCTCTATCTCTTCAGATGTCGACAGCATAATTAATTTTAATTTCTTTATTTTATTCTCCACTCTATAACCTCTTTACACTATGTTTATAAACTTTCCCCATTAATTTATACAATTGAGTGACTTAAAAA